CCGATCACCCCACCTTACCCGATCACCATTTACACCAAAACACTATATATTTGAGCAACGATTGTATAGTCATTTGTGAAGCTATTTACATGGCAAATATAGCAAAATGTAGATAAAAAGCAGCTTAGTCCATATATCGTGCCGGCGCACGGATTGCACGGCCAGATCGGGTTTGCCTTGCAGGCATAACATCGTCATTTTCGTCAGAATCTTCCTCAACTTCATCTTCAGTCTCATCAACTTGAGGCTCTTCTTGAGCCTCAACTTGAGGCTCTTTGGGAACCTCACCACCTAGTAGTATAGTGGCCAAAGTCATGAACCGCTTATTCGGGTTCGGGATTTTTCGACGTTTTTTGGGCTTTAGTCGCTCCAATTCAGCCTCGAGGGCTTCAATCTGGTATTTCTAGAAGATGACTTCGGTCTGAAGCTTCTCAACTACCCGGGTAGCCTTCTTGAACTTCATCCTTATCGAGGGACTAGTTCCTATACCCAGATCCATAACCTAGCGACTAGTAGACGGGGTCTCCGGGACTCCAGGGGGTATAACGGGCTTAGGGGTCTTTTTCCTGTCTTGTTGAATCTCTGGGTGGCTCAGGGCCTTTTGCCTACTAATTGGCCAATTCCTAGTCGTTCGGAACCCTGATTTGATATTCCTTTCCGTAAATCCTAGCTCCCGAGCTACTTTATAATATCGTATAAAGTTGATCTTATCGACTGGTGCTAAGTCGATCAGACTAGCCAATTTGGCTAGTTCGCGCTTATAGTAGGCTTTGACTATATTGAATACTCCGTTATTAAGTGGCTGTAAGCCGTGAGAGGTGTGGGCTAGTAGGAAGCAAAGATATATATTGTGGAAGAAGTAATAGGTCATGAAGTCATCCTAGGGTAATAATATAAGATATATAGGTCAAAGAGGGCATAGACTTTATGACTTACCATTATGTGGCTGCCGTGGCTATCAAGAATAATAAGCCGGGCTTCGCTATCGTACTAAAGCCATGGATTAGTCTGTGGAATAAAAATATCCTCGAGCTAACTGATGGCTAGTTTATTATTAGTCCAGCCCTTTTCACTAGTAACGAAGCTCTATTTAGCTATTTTGTTTATCTCGTCTTTAAACTACTACGTCTGAAGATCTTTTCCTTTGAAAATAATGCCTGGATTAAGGACTTTGCCGTCGGTACTAATGTATTCGATTATGGTGGACTAACTACGGCCCTAGTCACTTTTGAGGTAGGTTTTCCGAGTCTCTGAGCTCCCCAGGACTAAAGAGTCAAGGCCTATATACAATCAGTATAGTAGAGTATAATGAGTATTGTTTACTTACTAAAGCCCGCTATAATGCCGGCCTTATCGATATTGAAAGTAAGCCCAGGCCTAATCCAGTCGTATTCTTTCTCCCTAATATCGAAATACCAGTTTACGGCTTTGGGAGTGAAGCCGTTGAATCGGGCTACTTCCATTCTTTTACCCACTTTTGCTTTTATCTCGGGGTTCCGGGCTTTGAAGGCCTCAATCCAGTGTTTTCCTAGGGGCTCATTATCCCCCTTCTTTTTAAGTAGCTCTTTAACAATACTACAGACTTATGAATAGGTCGGGGTATAGCCGAAGCTCTCTTAGCGTATGATCCAAGTAACAATACGCTTTTCTTTAGCGTCTATGAGCCGCCGGGAGGGGTGGTAGACTTCGCTCTTTACAGGGACTCCCTTAAGTCTATCGTATAACGTTATATATGGAATACCATGCTTCTGGGCAGATTTTCGAATGGAAATACCATTATTAGTAACGTTAAGATAAGCATTAACTATATTATCTTCAGTATATGAGGCCATAATGATAATACAGGACAATATACGTAGTCAAAGGTAGAAGGTAAGAAGTTAATGAGGTTAAAATTGAGCTTGACTTGTATCGATATAGCGAAAAGACTACTACATATGGGCTGATAAATCTACTCAAACTTTATTCTACATGCAATTACATAACTAGTTCAATTGTCTACTTGTGAATAGCTTCAAAATTGAACGCGTAGTTGTTGTTGGAAGATGTAGTGTTTTGGTGTAAATAGTGATCGGGTAAGGTGGGGTGATCGGGTAAGGGGGGGGGGATGGTATTTGCTTTGTTTGGCATCGGATTTATGGTCTGCTTATATCCATCGCGCTGCATTCCACCGAAGCATGTCAACGACTGCCGTGTAAGAGAGGCAGCGAGACAAGTATAAAGACGATTCCTCGTCACCGGCAGCTGAAGATGAAACAATCACAAGTCACCAAGCACATCCAGCCAGCAACATACCGACTGCAAAGTCCTCAAACCAGACCAAAACAAATCCCCCCCCCTTTTCACCTCCAGCAAACATGGCACCAAGCACCTACCGCAAGCTCCAGGACAAGCACATCCTCTTCATCGGCGGCTCAGGGGGAATCGGTGCGGCAGTAGCCGAGGCCTCGCTCGAGGCCGGCGCGCACGCGACCATCACCTCCTCTTCCCAGACCAGAGTCGACGGCGTGGTCGCGTCGCTGGCCGCGGCATACCCAGGCAGCTCTGTGCGCGGGGCGGTCGGCGACCTGTCGAACCCGGCGACGATCGAAGACGTGCTCGAGTCCATCTTCCAGGCAGCCAAGGCGGCGCAGGGCGGCCGGCCCATCGACCACGTGGTGTTCACGGCGGCGGACGCGCTGACGCTGGGGCCGCTAGACACAACAACGCCGGCCGCGATCGCCGCGGCCGCGCACATGCGGCTCGTGGCGCCCGTGGTGGTGGCCAAGGTGGCGGCGCGCCACCTGGCGCGCTCGCACCGGTCGAGCATCGTCATCACCACGGGCAGCGCGGCCGAGCGCCCGGCCAAGGGCTGGAGCGTCGTGGCCTACTTCGCCGGCGGGCTGGCGTCGCTCGCCAGGGCCCTGGCCGTCGACCTGGCGCCCATCCGGGTCAATGCGGTCCAGCCCGGCCCCGTCGACACGGCCCTGTGGGGCGCCCACCGCGACGCAGTCGTCGCCCAGCAGGAGGCCAAGGTGTTGACCGGCAGGGTCGCAAAGGTCGAGGACGTCGCCGAGGCTTACATCTGGCTGCTGAAGGACGAGAATGCTACGGGGTCGGTCGCGGCGACCGACGGCGGAGAGCTGCTCGTCTAGACTCGGGCGGCGGCATTGGGAGGGGAAAGGGGAAGAGAGTTGTATACAGAAGTCAAGATTTTCTCCCAGCAATTAATTAAATGAACTGTGGAGTTACCTGTTGCTCTTCGGCCGTGTGAACATGTGAGTCGCACCGTTGATCGCCGGCCACAATTTCCGTACCTAGTGTCGGAGGCCACTGCCGGAGGGCGATCGCAGCCCCGGGTATCTGATGTTGGTTGTTGATGTGGGGGTAAAAATTGTATGTCAATCGATCTTGTCAACGCCACGCTCTTCTCTGCATGTCTTGCTGAAAGGCGCAATTTGACTTGCAAGGGCTCCGGGGTTGGTTGGGGGTTTAACTAATCACTTCAAATACCGAAAATACAATACGCATTTTGTATTTCCATCATCAAATTCCGGGTTTTGAAGGAGTGTTGCTGGAGCGACGTGAAAGCGGGAAGTTGTCCAAGTTGTATTTATGTATTGAAAGTTCCGTAAATAACCGGTCGCATACGAATTACATAACAGCGTTGCGTGCGTTTTACTTGTAGCGTTGGAACGGCACAGTCCATCCCATTCATCCATCCTCAGGCTTCCAGGGCATTCGACGTCAACTCAAGGGCGCGACAACGCCAAGCTACTGTCTCCTTTATTAACCAACAAGTTGTACCCTTTCTCTTTGTGAAACCACCATCTTGCGATAGAGTACCTACTTGTGTTTTATTTTATTGATATTTCACGAGACCTCAACACGCAATTCACGAAATGGTGAGCAAGGCACTTGACAAAAACACTGCTTCACCCATGCATCGAACATACTAGCTGACACAGATTCAGGGAAGCACTGCCGCGAGGACCTTCCTCGCGTTCCACCACAATGCCAAGCTGTACAAGCTGCAGACTGTCGTGTCGGCCGTGAAGCCCTTCGCGGCGCTCGAGGAGGCCAACCGGCTTTTGTTCAAGCAGGGCACCGACGAGGACTTTGCCGTTGTTACCGAGCAGACCATCTTCCACCCGCAGGGCGGTGGCCAGCCGTCCGACGAGGGCGCCATCTCTTCTCTCCCCAGCAGCGCAGGCGAGGAAGCCTTACCATCCATCTTCCGCGTGAGCGCTGCGCGCATGGACGCCGTGCACGACGGGCAGGTGCTGCATTTCGGGCGCTTCGACGCGGGGCCCAGCGGAGGACCGCCGCAGGCGTTTGCGGCAGGCGCGGCGGTAGAGCAGGCCATCGACGTCGAGAAACGAGTGTACTACTCGCGGCTGCACACGGCGGGCCACGTGCTGGGGGCGGCGGTGCGGCACCTGCTGGAGGGCGAGGTGGCGGGGTTCGACGAGCTCAAGGCGAGCCACTTCCCGGACTCGGCGTCGTGCGAGTTCAAGGGCCTGATCGACGGCAAGTGGAAAGAGCCCATCCAGCGGCGGCTCGACGAGTACGTCGCGCGCGCGATGCCCGTCGAGATCGAGTTCTGGGACGAGGGCGACTTTATCAAGAACGGCCTCGAGCGCCTGATCCCCGACAAGAGTCTCGCCGCGCCGGGCGAGAAGTTCCGCGTCGTCCGCATTGTCGGTGCCGAGACGTACCCCTGCGGAGGCACCCACGTCGACACCACCGACCTGTGCGGCGAGACCACGGTCAAGAAGATCTCGAGGAGCAAGGGGATATCGAGGGTTTCGTACGCGGTGGCGTTATAGCGACGGTTGTGCTGTGGATGTGGATGGACCTGCCCGCTGGGCAAATAGAAATAGACGTGTTTGGGGGTTTTCCTCGGCGCGGATGAGAAAAAACATGGAAACACGGTAAATAAACTGGAGCAACAATAAAAAAGAGATATAAACAGATTTGATACCGTTCACACATAGGCGCGAAAGGAAACGGATCGCCGATGCCCACACTTAGATTTGAACTGAGGACCTTATCATGAAGTAGTGTTACAAGTCTCTACTAGTGATACGCTCTACCCCTGAGCCATGCGGGCTTGTGGATGGATGACTAATCCTGACACTTAATTTTCTTATACTCGCAATGTCTTGGTTGACTGTTGACTGTCACTAAAAACCTTTTGCTTCAATTGGCTTCGTAGTGATGCTCGCTGATTTGCTCTCGTGGATTCGATTTTAGTTGAGTAAGCAGAGTCGTACTGAAGTAAGTGAGTTGAGTTCCCGTCCCGGAAAAAGTGCTAGCTCAGGAAGGGCACTTGCACCGACTTCTGCGCACCTGCCTATAGGGGCTGTTCCGTGACTCACTTTCTTGATGTAGCATTAAATGCTAACTCCGATGCAACTGCCCCGTGGTTACTTTAGCCTAGAATAGTAGCAGTGATGGTAATCCCGAAGTGTGGTGAACTTGAGCTGTCTGCAGAAAACGGCGATCGCTTTCTCCAATCTCACACATGCAAGTCTCGCTGACGTGACTCACATGGGTAAACGAAGGGTATTGAAGTTCCCATAAGAACCGCCTTCTGTGAAAGTTGCGGAACATTAGGACCAAATACCAGTATTTCATTCCGATCATTAACACACTTTTCCCCTTTTTTGAGTGTGTATCGAAGGTGTGACTCAGGGACAACACCACAAACGAACTCATCAGAAACCCGCGTACAACACACATCCAAACGGCGCAAGGAGAAAGATAAAATAAAATAAAACAAAGCAAAACATAAAACAGAAACCATGTCATCCCCCACAAACACCCAGGCCCCCGTCCCTGCCCCCGTCCCCGTCCTCCCCCTCTCCGCCGCATCCAAAATCGCCTCGTACGCGATCCAGCCGGCGTCCGGCGCTAGCCAACTGAGCCAGCGCATCGAGCTCAGCCAAGCCATGCACCGCATCCGGCTGATTAACGCCTGGGGCAGCAGCAGCAGCAGCATCACCACACTCGGGCCCGGCACGCGCGTCCTTGAACTCGGATGCGGGCAAGGCACATGCACGCAGGCGCTGGCGGAAGCCGTAGGGCCCGGCGGACACGTCGACGCGGTGGACCCGGCGTCGCCGGACTACGGGCGGCCGTTCACGCTCGCGCAGGCGCAGGCGCACCTGTCGGCGGGGCCGGTCGGCGGGCGCATCGCGTGGCACCGGGCGGACCCGATATCTTTTCTCAGTGCCGCGGATGCGGAGAAGACGTGGGACGTCGCGGTGCTGGCGCACTGCGTGTGGTACTTCCGCGGCGGGGGGGAGGGCGAGCTGGGGCGCATCCTCGCGGCGCTCCGGGGCCGCGTCGCCCGCGTGCTGGTCGCCGAGTACGCGCTGCGAGCCTCGGAGCCCGCGGCCGCGGCGCATGTGCTGGCGGCGCTGGCGCGCGCGACGCTCGAGGCGCACCGCGGCGACAGCACGGAGAATATTCAGTCCGTGGTGAGCCCGGCGGGGATCAAAGCGGTCGCGGCGGGCGCCGGGTGGACTGTCGAGAGTGAGGAAGTCGCTGTGCCGGACGCGGCGCTGTCGGATGGATTCTGGGAGACGGCGACGGTGACGGCGCAGGACTTTGTCGACGAGGTGGAGCAGGCGGTTGGTGATGAAGGGGTGAAGAGTTTGTTGAGGTCGGCAAGGGATGCCACGGTTGCTGCGGCGGAGGCGAATGGTGGCGTCAAGAAGGTCAGGACGATGGACGTGTGGGTTGCTTCCCTGATTTGTTGAGGACTAAAGAGTGTCGCTGCCTCAAGTTTGAGTTGTGCAATGTTGATTATTGAGAAGTGATAATACGCCTTTCCATTCTTTACTGTAGTCGAGCATTTCCTTTTTCTTTGAAGACAGCAGTGTTGAAGTAAACTGTCGGTCAATGAACATGCTGCAGAAGAGGCGTCTTGAAGCCTCCCCAAGGTTAATGCAACTGAAGATATCATGCAACGGTAAAATGGTAAATGGGTATTGTGTTCTATTGAAAATATACATAAATCGGTCCGAAATACAAAACGCTACAAGACCGTAGCTATGCTTATCCCAACCATACACCCCTTACGCGGCGAAGCCAGACCATACCGGGCCACCCGGGCAAGTATAGGTTGTAGCTTTGCTGGAGTAGATATCGATCTGTCATGAATTAGCCTCGGCGCTGACAACAGACAGCATGTAGAACTCACAGTGATGCCGGGGTCGCTCTGCGGGGCGTAGCCGGGAATGGAGAAGAGAAAGTCGGCCGGCGGCGCTGCTGTGCCGCTGCCGGTCACAACGAGCTGAGCGCACTCGGCGTAGAACTGGGGGGTGTTGGCCTGGTGGAGAGCGAGCAGCTCGTGCCGTATGAGGTAGTTGCCCGGGGCCAGGCTCTTGGGGATTACGGACGACCACTCGAGGTTCTTGACTACCATGGCCGTGCCCCAGTCGTTGGAATCAAGGGCAGTGCCAAACAGGCCCATCTGGTCGATCTTGAACCACCCCTTGCCATCGCCGTCGCATGAGGCAAAGTCGCCAGCACACTTGAACATCCATACCATAACGGGCCCTTGCTGGTGAGTCCACTGCTTATACACGGCAGTGACATTCTCGCCGGCAGCAACACTGGCGCTCAGCTGGGCCGTCGTCCCGCCGTTGCACCGCATCTTGGCGTCGGTGACGGTTAAAGTGGGGTTGTAGTCGGGCCATGGGAACTGAATAGTCTTGGGGCTGGTTGCGGGAGCGAACCCATCGTAGCCTGGGTAGGTGGTACTGCCAATGGTGTAGCTGGTGACAGCGCCGTGTCCTGCTACAGCCGAGGCCAGGGCAAGCACCGAGGCGAGGGCCTTGAACGACATGTCGACCAGGTGGCTGGTGTGAAGAGAAATACGAGTTGAAGATGGTAATCAGGTGTTGTATGACAGGTTGTGTCAGACTTGGGCGGTAACTTTGGCGAGAAAGGGAGCAGCTGGAAGATGATGAAGGAACAAGGACATCAGACTCGTCTTTGACCTCTCTTTATATACATCTTGTCGGAGCCTGGAGGCCCTTTCCCGGGCTGGGCGGGCATCTAGAAACAGTCGCATATCTCCTCAGCGCTTTCTACGGATCATGCGCCAGAGCCATGTCCAGGCCCTCGAACCTGCCAACGGCATCAATAGCAATATAGCGGCATGAGGTTGACTCCATGTTCCCACATCGGCCGTCGTATGCCTTGGAGGATGACGACGCTGTGGCGCCGCTGTATAGTGAGCGGAATGGAGACAACCTCGTAAAGGCCATGGCCTGATCGGGCAAGAACAGGCATATACCGCACGGCAGGGCCCGGAGGTGTACCTACGCAGATAATTACTGGAGAGCTTAGTACCAATTTCCAGGTAAAAGCGTGGGAAAGCTACTAGCAGATAAACGGAAAAACAAGCGTCGAGTCTCCATGCGAGGCGAGCTGGGAAGGCGGTACAAGACTAATGCACGCGCTGATCTCGGGAGTGCTCCCTGGCGGATCTCAAGCCTAGATGCTAGGAGCACGGCAGCGTGGGGACCAGGCATACTAGTGTAACTGGGAACTAGGCAGACTGGGCAGTGATTGGGTACCAAGCGGGACGATCGGCACCAGCACGTCTCGTGTAAAGTGCCTAATGGCAATGGGGCTGCAATCGAGACGGCAAAGCCCCGCCATAATAAAGGGCTTTGTCCATGGAAGGCCGCGGGCAGGCAGGCAGTAGACTGGGAAGGCAACGCGGCAGGAAGCGGGAGACGGAGACGGGAGACGGGGCGCGAAAGAAAAAAAAAGAAACGAAAGAGGGAGGCGGAATCTGGACAGGCAAAGGCGAGGAAGGTATGACATGGTATTGCATTGTGCTGTATAGAGAGATCGACACTTAGGTAAGCACGTCGGATCCTCCATGCGCCCTGGGACTTCCCTAGGTTGGCGCGGCACAGTACGGTAGGTGGACATGTTCGTTTTCTAACGGCATGAAGGAGGCGGGAAACGCGGCCGAAATAGAGTATGTAGAGGTGCAAGCTTGAATTGGACATGGTGGCCGGGGTCCGTTGGTGCCGCAAACGGTAGGCCCCACGCCGCCCGCAGTTCGTCCGCCCGCTGCAAGCTAGGCTTGGCAGGGGAGGAGGCTCTTACAACGTCACCTCATCATGTCCATGTCCAGATTACTTATCTGGCGCCAGCAATGTGCCAAAGTCGACGCTCCAGTAAACAACATTGTGGACAGCTTTATGGATTGGCCTGTTATGCTCGTTTGTAACGGGTCCATCGACTTGTTTCAAGATTCCATTCGTTGTAGTCCAAATGTATGGTGCTGCACGCCGGTGGACGGGGGAAATTCGAGGTTCGCGAATGACTGTATCCTCAACGTTTCAGATATTGCCGCTGACGATTGGATGACTTCTAGACGATTGTGACACTCTTGTCGATGATTTGCTGCTTCTTTATGATCTCGTCCACGGGTCTTTCGTCCTTGCCGCTCGTCTCTACTTATACCGCGCGTGCCTCCTCCAAATCTCCCTCGATAGTAGCAGAGTGCTCTGTTGAGCAAAGATGGCACTGGCGGGTCTTGAATATGGGTTTAATGGTAGGGGTTCATGAAGGCGAGGGCTACTCAACCTTCCTTGTACGTGTCCTCCCCTAGCTTCGTGGCCGTTGGCCGTTTGAGGCATCTTTTGTGCATCGCGGTCGCACAGACGCACAACTCGATTGAGTGGGCTGTTGGCTCGGCGTGTCGCCAGCTTCACGAGAGACAAGGTGGTTCATATGTGCTATTTGACGGGAGTGGTTGAGACGGTGAAAGGGAGGCTAAGCGGCCTCCTCGCCGTCTGTCATTACGCAGCGAATGGGGTCAACTTGGACGTGCGACCATGTGCAACTCGGAGCGGTGATACAGCGACTTTTCGGGCTCGGACCTGCAGCCAAACTCCCAAAATTCCTCGTAGTTTCCAATTGTGGTCCTGGAGAATAATAGCAGTGGTTTACCTCTTCATCACAGGTTGAACGGTAACAGAATCGTTCCTCAATACAATACGCTGCTGGGCATTCCAGCTCGGACCCACCAAGCTACCGACCGCTCCTTCCATCTCAAGACAGTCGCCAGCCATTTAA